GTTACTATTTCGACAGGTTCGAAATAACACCCTTTAAGGCCAAGGGCCTTCGCCAAAAAGAAGAGTTCGACCTTGATCGAACGACAACAGGTTACTATTTCGACAGGTTCGAAATAACACCCTTTAAGGCCAAGGGCCTTCGCCAAAAAGAAGAGTTCGACCTTGATCGAACGACAACAGGTTACTATTTCGACAGGTTCGAAATAACACCCTTTAAGGCCAAGGGCCTTCGCCAAAAAGAAGAGTTCGACCTTGATCGAACGACAACAGGTTACTATTTCGACAGGTTCGAAATAACACCCTTTAAGGCCAAGGGCCTTCGCCAAAAAGAAGAGTTCGACCTTGATCGAACGACAACAGGTTACTATTTCGACAGGTTCGAAATAACACCCTTTAAGGCCAAGGGCCTTCGCCAAAAAGAAGAGTTCGACCTCGATCGAACGACGACATGCTACTATTTTGACAAGTTCGAAATAACACCCTTTAAGGCCAAGAGACTTCGCCAAAAAGAAGAGTTCGACCTCGATCGAACGACGACAGGTTGCTATTTCGATAAGTTCGAAATAACATCCTTTAAGGCCAAGGGCCTTCGCCAAAAAGAAGAGTTCCACCTTGATCGAATGACGACGGGTTACTATTTCGATAAGTTTGAAATAACACCCTTTAAGGTCAAAGGCCTTCACCAAAAAGAAGAAGTTCGACCTTAATCAAACAACGACGGGTCGATATTTTGACAAAAGTTCGAAATCACACCCTCAAGGCCATAAGCCATCGCCAGAGGGAAACGTTTGAAATATATCTAAGGCCAAGGGCTGTTAGTAAACAAAAAAGGAATAAAAGACCGAGACTCGCTATATGGGAATCCATCCAATGCTAAAGTCACAAAAAGCGAAAAACAAAGACAAAGTACGAGGCAGATAACAACAAAAAAAATTCTTCTTTATACAAGGTCACTGCGCTAACGGTTGTAGATTACATACGGCCCAAGCCAACAATAAAAAAAAAGAAGAAAGGAACAACGACAAACGACGATGAATATAAAAAAACATAAAACAAACTAAGACAACATTCTTTCACTCGGCGTCATCACCACCACCATCATCTCCAAGAAGCTCTCCCTCATCATTTGCACCCTCGTCGGCCTCCGGAGTCGCAGAGTCATAAACACAGTTGATGCGGGCCTCCCGCGCCTTTGCTCGTGCTTCTTCATATGCGGCCTCATTAACATTGCCCGCCTCCCACACACTCTTATATATATCCCGCTGAGCTTTAACATGACCCCAAAGCTCATGTAGGCAACGTGGAGCATCGACAGAGGAAGACTCAATCTGAGCCAATAGTCGCTCCTTTTAAGACTTAAGTGCGGCAACCCGGTTTCCTAAGGTCGAAGTTTCCCGATCAATCTCACCAATGCGCTCCTCAAGCCTTGCCTCCATTAACATTGTCGTCGCTCTCTCCGACTCCTGCTCAGACTGAAGGACGCAGATAGTGTTCTCCAGAGCCACCGCCCTTGCTGAAGCCGCAGACCAGGCACTCTCGATACTCTCCAGTCCGACGACCTTTCTCTCCAACTCACCCATCTTCCCCATCCACTCTGCACTCATTGCCTCAACCTTGATAAGGTTTTGGTCCATTTTGGCTTGTATTGACCTCAGCCTCCCCTGCAAATAGTCACACTCTGCTGCCACCCCCTTTCCCACCTCGAGCTCTTCATCCTTCGCGTGAAGCTGCTCTTCGAGCACACTGTTCCTGCGAATAGCCTCCATCAACTGCTGATCTCTCTTCTCCAATTCCTCGCTGAGGGATCGAGCACGAGGATTCTCCATCAGTCGCTTGTGCATCTCACGGCACTTGTTGCGATAACGTCGATATTTTTCCAACATCTTCAAGAAAATCTTGGCCCAAATGTTAGCCCTGCGCATACTCTCCACTTCCACCATGTACGTCTGAAAAACAAGAGGAGAGGTTAAAGCCATATCAACAAGAAAAATGAGAGAAGTATAAAAGAAAAGTGCAATGTACCCTCAAACCCATAACGGCTATCTCATTCATCAAATCGACATCAGGAACGTTATGGAGAGCCTCGTTCTCAGCAGCAAAACACAAAATGTTGAACTGTGGCACCAGATCCTCCGTGTCCCCCAGGAGATTAACATCCGAAGAAATCTCAAGAATACGGGCCGGCCCTCCCGCATGAACCATCGATTGGTAATACCCTCCTCAAGCATCCTAACATCATCAGGATCGAGGTCCGACTCGAATTTATAATCGTCAACCACAACACCTTTCCCTCTTTCAGCAGCTGGGGAAGAAGCACGACCAGGTACGGAGGACGAGGTTACTTCTGAAACTATAATGGCAGCCTCAAAAATCTGTCCCCCGGTTACAACAGGATGCTGATCAACAACAATAGCATGAATCTCCATCGACGGGGCAGATACGACGACTGTCTCCATCTCCATGGGCAGAGCAGTATCAACCCCCGCCCCAGATTTTGTCAAGGGAGAGACGTCTAGATGAATTACAGTCGGAGGGGCTGCCTCGAATTCCACTCGCCGCCTCTTGGATGGCCCTTCTTCTTCCTTAACATGAGGAGACTCACCCGTCTGACGAGAAACACGAGTCGGGACCTCAGTCTAAGAAGTGGCCTCCACAGGAATAACTACAGTCGCCGACTCGACTGATGCAACCCTCAATGAAGGCCGAGCGGCAGGTGCTGCAACAGGGCGAGCAGACGAGATCGGCTGATGGAAAGCCAATGGAGGAGCCCTCACTCTCCGCACTCTCCCTGGCATCGACAAACAGCACATGAGAAACTAAGTAAAAAGAGAGGAAAAATAGCAAACAGAAATGACATCTCACCTGTAAGGGGTCTACATCCAAATTTTTCATAAAAGGCCGACCATGTGTGAACCCCTACCGTATAGGGAAGGATGGTGCTCACCCACTCGCGGATACCTTCGACAGATGGATGAGGCAATTTATCGGCTGTGGAGACATAATAGGGTTTAGTACTGTAACAGAAAGTGGTCGGATATATCTCCGACTAAAAGCATAAGAAACTTACGTGCAAAGTACCAATTCTCAAGGAACCCCATTAGATCCGCCACAATGTGCCCGGTCCGCACATAGAAATAATTCTCGTAGAAATGACGGTTAGCCCTGTCGTCTATTTTTACCACCAGAATCTTCGACCCCAGAGGATGCATGTGAAGCATCGTGCTGCGGATAAGCTGAGGGGCGAAAATATTGAGCATGTGATACAAAGTGATCTCACGGCCGGCGAGTTCTGCAAACTTAAGCAACATAAGGAACAACTTGTATAGGTACGGTGAAAGTTGGGCGGGTCATACCTCATAAAAGTGGTAGAAATCTACCACCAGGAGAGGGAGAGGAAGTGTGTACCCAATAAGAAAGGGGTAGGCATAAAACACGCAGTACCCAGGGCAGTCAAAATGAACTATGTCAGTCCCTATCGCCGATCGCATGTCAACGTAACCGGGGATACCCCACCTAGCTTTCAACTCTGCAATGTATTCTTCTCTCATGACAAAAGCGACAGGTTTCGGCTCCGCCCTGGCGCGATTGCTGAAGTCGGTCAATTTTCTCCCAAGACGAGGCAAAATCTCAACTACCGACGAGACCTCCTCGTCTTCTACCACTTCTGCCCCCAGTGTCCTGAGCAACATTTTTCGGTGTCGGAATTGTGATAGGGAGATCAGTGCAAGAGGAATCACCAGCCATTTTGTCAAGATGATGCGGCAAAAAGACAATGGAAAGAAAGGATGAAAATTTTCAGTTAACTGAGGGCAAACGAAAACTCGGAGTATCAGGAAGAAAGTATATCTGCAGAATTCTTTCAAGCAAAAGGCAAATAAGTGTGTCAATCGAATGATGAGTTCCTTATATTTATAAGAGATGTAAACCCCTCAAGCACGAAACCAAAGAGTTGCCAATCGAATCTGATAGGGCACGAAACGTTTCGGTTCCCTAGGAACGTGTGTCATAATGGTAGCAGCCACGAAACAAGGTTTCATTTCCAAACGACATTTCGGTTCCGAAACAGCCGCAACGGTCCAAGGAAATCGAAAGAACGCCGTCATCCCACTTGAAATCTAAAAAGCATAACCAAGGAACCAACAATCAGATTTCTCTCGAATTCGTAGCAGTCATGATCCGTCTACCTAGCCCGACAGGGGACGACTCCGACAGACGGAGGGACTAACTGTATTGGTCAAAATCCGACCGCTGCCGTCAAGTTGACCAACGTCCCGTCCAGGCGGCAAGGCGACGAAAAATGACATGACATATTCCAAATCAAGCAATCTCGATACCCGTCGAGCCAGAAGAAACGATGTTTAGAGGACAACCAAGACAGACATAATGTAAGAGCGTCGGACCAAGTAGATAGCAAAGGTCCCATGACTATATATAGTAAGGAAAAACTTTCGGTTAAGGGGCTTCTCTTCTCTCCTTACTCCCCTCTTGTGCAATCTTCCTAAAAACAAAAGGAACAATTTAGCAATCTCCAAAGAAGGATATGTAAAACAACCTCCCCATTGATTAATGGGAGACACAACGAAAGTTTCAATAAGATCGATTATATCTATTTCATCTTATATACTATTTATTCTGTTAGCTCATTAATCTGAAGTTTATTATGTTTGACTAAGATTTACCTCTTTATTTTTTTTGATTGATTTATTCAAAAATGTTTCGATATTTTTTGAGTCAAAACAATAGTGATTACTTGTAAATTCCTAGTTATTAGACCAAAGATATGTAATGCAATATTTGTGGTCTACAATTACACGCCTTCAAATAAACATAAAAGAATAGTGTAAACTCAACGCAAAGTCCATTTCCTTTGAGATGAAGGACTTAATCTCCACCGTCCAATCAAGCCGAATCTATTCCGCATTGAACGCTTACCGTTTGATCAAATCAACGCAATCCTTTTATATTTATATAAAACCTATTTCTTCGCTTGAAACAGAAGCGAATACTCTCAAAAAACCTACACAGAGATAACAAACAGAGTCCAAAGAGCAATTAGCAAGAGCAAACATGGCGGCAACTGTGAGCGCGTGGGCAAAACCAGGCGCGTGGGCTTTAGATTCAGAGGAACATGAGTCCGAGCTCCAAAAGGAAGAGTCAGTAAACGGCGACAACCACTCCAACGGCGCCACCGCTGGGCTCTCCGATTTTCCATCTCCAGCCGCCGCCGCCACCACCAAAACGAAGAAGAAGAAGCCACCAACCTTATCCCTTCAGGAGTTCTCAACTTACAGTTCCGTTAAGAAGTCTCAATACGCTGCTGCTGCCGCCGTCAAGGGATTAACGCCGGAGGAAGTCATGATGCTCCCCACCGGTCCACGCGAACGCTCCGCCGAGGAACTTGACAGCTCTCGCCTGGGAGGCGGCTTCAGATCGTACGGTTACGATAGGCAAGGAGGTAGAGGTTCGTCGGACGAGTCCCGGAGACCGGGAGGGTTCCGACGTGATTCCGACAGGGAAATTGCGCCTTCACGCGCCGACGAGACTGACGACTGGGGCGCAGCTAAAAAAACTTCCATTGGTAACAGTTTCGACAGAAGGGAGAGAGGCGAAAGGGGAGGATTTTTCTCAGATTCGCATTCCAAAGCTGATGAATCTGATAACTGGGGCGCAAATAAATCCTTTGTACCCTCTTCGGGTCGAAGATTTGATAGGAGAGGGAGTTTCGGGTCAAACGGCAGTGATTCGGATTCGGATAAGTGGACTAAAAGGTCCGGTGGAGGTGGGGCATTCGACAGTTTAAGAGAGCGAAGAGGCGGGGGCTATGAGTCCAATAATAGTGGAGTGGATTCAGAAAATTGGGGAAGAGGAAAGAGAGAAGAAACTTTAGGTGGTGGTGGTGGAGGTAGGCCCAAATTGAATTTGCAGCCCAGGACATTGCCTATAGCTGAAGTACAGCATCAGAATGGTGGTAATAATGAGGCTACTGTGGTGGTGAAGCCCAAAGGGTCTAATAATCCATTTGGGGCAGCTAGACCGAGGGAGGAAGTTTTGAAGGAGAAGGGGCAAGATTGGAAGGAGATTGATCAAAAGCTTGAATCTTTGAAGGTAAAGGAGGTGGTTTCTGAGTCAAGTGACAAAAAAGCTTGGGGGAATGGGAAGCCGAGTTTCATGCGTGAGGAGAGGACTGAGAAGAGTTGGAGGAAGCCTGAGCCAAAAGAAGTTCGTCCTTTAAGGTAGTGATGAATTCTTATGTGTTTTAGTAGCTTGTTTTATGCTGAATTAAGTTTCATGTGATGTTGGTTTTTCAATGAATTACTTAGTAATTGATTATCTATTTTTGTAAGGTAGGGTCTTTGATGAATCATATTACTGGTTGCTCTTTAGTCTTTGCAAAAGCGAATCAACTGTCACTAGTTAATTGGTTATAGATATTTGGTAATGGAACTATTTGAAAGACGTTGGGGTACGCTGTTTGGTCTGAAGAAGATTTATTTTTTGGGGTTAACAAGTTATGTTAGGGTTAAATTTTAATTTTTTGCTGGATTAGCCTAAATTTAACTCCCTATGCACCAATGTGACAGAGCGTGGGGTGTTCCAAGTATGATGTAGTCGTGTAGTCATAGTCATGGATGATTTATGGAAGAACAACTAAAGCTTTGTGCCCCTTGCTTGGTACTGAATGAAGCCAGCTGCTTTGTACCCTAAGTTTAGCATTGCCTTTTTAGGGACGCTGCAATAAAATGCTGCTTCACCCCATGCATTTGACTCAATTTTGCTCCAAAATGGCCTCAGAACAGGACGTTGCTAGAAGATCTGTAACATTTTGTTTTCGAGGTCTTCTGTCCTAATTTAGAGAAATTATGAGGGGTTTAATTTTGGATGAAACGGGGGCAAATGATTTACAGATTTGAATCCAACTAATTTGAGAATGAAACATAATTGATTGAATGCTGATTCTTGCTGCTGGTCAGTGCATTTCCCGTCGAGTAAGTTGGATAAACTCTGGTTCCGGTAGAATAGGATTGTGTGTGTTAGGCCTATTGGGTCAACTATACCCCCTTCCTGTGTTATGCTGCACTAGCAGTTTGCTAGTGGTGTTTTGTTTAAGGGTCATGAATGATTTTTCTGTTCAACCGGGTCGGAAGTGTGACTTATTATGTACAGTCTCTCTTTTTCCTCCATTATGTTTTATGGCTGCTTGGGTTGTACATGTCTGTTTTATCTGATTGTGCAGCGGTTTGATGACTTTATCTGCCTTTGTATATGTTCTACTTTCTTAGTGCACCTGAAAATTTGCTTGGTTTACTGGTTTCTCGTTTTGATTTAGAATTGTTTCCACTCTTTACCTTAGTGGCGTGGTTCTTGACCCTCATTTTTAAATGTATTGTAGTGCTGAGGAAACTGTAAATGGAGCTGTTGAAGAAACTGCACAGGGAGCTGCTGAGGAATCTGGTGGAGAGCCACAAATATGATGCCAAACAGAGGAGTTATTTATGAGCTGTGTTTGTTTCCTCAGAGTTTGAAATAGTTTTACCCCGATGCATGTGATGCGCGAAGCATTAAGGCAATTTTGATAGAACTGCTTAGTCTGTAGTGGGTTGTGTTTTTCCTGTGTACTTACACCAACATTATTGTTTTGCTATTTATGTTTGTTCTTTTTCTATTCATCATAGTCTAGAATTGTTTGTTCGTAAGCTAGTACACATTCATATGCGGAACACAAAGGCGTAAAGACTGTGTGGAAGATTACAGATTCATATAATTATTGTTATTTTATTTATTTTTGACTTCTCCCTAATTCTTATTATTATGTTTAGATCTTGTTTAGGATGTTCAGATGGGATTATTAAAAGATTACAGATTCTTATAATTGTGGAAAGTTGTTTACATATATTAGCGAGTATAGGCAGCAACTGAAATCTGCTGTCTTCTCCTTGCTTCGGCTGGTGTTTAAAGTGTTTGACCTGTATCTTATTTACCATTTATCTACTTTGTGTCGGATAGTGTTTGTAAGGTCCCTCTAGTCTGCTAGATTTAAAATTTCAAAAGAAAGTGTCTTATCTCTAGTCCTTTATAACTTATAAGCTTGTAAATGAGTTTTCTTTAACGCAACTTAACATGATAATCACAAAAAAATAACTTGAATTTGGGTCTTGTCATCTCGTGTTAACTATTCTATACATGGCTCAAAAGTAAGAATTAAGTCTATACATGATTTTCGATTAGTATAAAAACAGTTTGATTTCTGTTTCGACCGTTGGATGACCTGATAGGGGATTTACTGTTAAGGCTGTGATTTAACTCGCCAAAACTGTGGAGTTCCAATTTGCTCATAATTTGGGCAATTTGGCGGTTTTTTTCTTCCACAATGGTTTGCTTCATCGCAGCAAGTTAGATGTTTAATGTTTGAGTGGATGAATATTTGGATTTTGTCATTTTGACCTGAACGGCTAGGATTTGGAGGAGTTCTCTGCAACTAGAGGGTTTTAGGCTGTGGACAAAAGGGATTCATCTACTTTATGAGAGTTTCTGATGACCGGTGCCATAAATTGTAGTTGCTGTAAATCAGTTTCTGTAAAAGAAAAACCCGTAAGTCTCCTAACTACTATTTATGGTAAAATACTACACCTGAAGTAATTGGTAAAGTCATAACTTTGCCTTAATTCGAGAGCATGTAAATTTACACTTAGTATGGTCATGAGCTGGGATTATTTACCATTTGCAATATATAGTTTACCCTGAAACTTAGGCGTAAATCCCGGTGACATATTTTTTGAGCATATGCGACCTTTTACACACCTATTTTCTCCTATATAAGAAGCACCGTAGGAGCAGGTGAAGCAGCCTGCTCTTCGTCGACATGCCAGCTTCAGCCATACTACTTTTAACCCTGCTTTTCAACATTATTACATCAACTGCCATCACACCAGTTTGTAAATAAAGTAAACTTTTTAGGTATTTTCAAAGCCTACTTTTGACCTTTCACTGTTACCTGCCTTAGCTCTAAAAGTGACAGGTTTTATATCTTGGCTGACTCATTATAGTTACAAAGCAACACGTAGATTGACAGCTCCAAGGTATTTTCGTATAGCACAGAAAATTGTAAACCTACAGATACTCTCTTCTCCATAACTTTGTTTTTGGATTACCTTAGCTTTTTCTCTGTGAACTTCGGACTTTTAAGTTGCTGTGTCTACTCAATTGAAAGATCTTCTTTTGGTATTTTGCTTGGTTTTCCTGTTGGGTTTCTCTGAAGATCACATTGTCTGCTAATCAGAGGTTATAGTGACTGCTACTTGAGAAGTTCTATTTCGAATTTTCTACTTATTTCAAGGTAATTATTATATAGGATAATTTTATTTTACGGATGGTGTTTTGTGTGTTACTGTGATTTTGGTCGAGGTTACCAAATCAAAAAAAGGATACGGCAAATTCTCATGTAAGGGTAAAAGTTTTTGTAAATCAGCTCTTAAAAGTTTTTTATAAATCAGCTAATCCCCTGGTAATTCATAGTATTCTGATTCTTTTTTGTTCTCTAAAATTAATAGATCTAATTACAGTAAGCACCCATGTTTTGATCATTTCTTGAATTCTTGATTTAATCCATCTAAATATTATGTCTTTATATATGCGCTTTTTTTATCTTTTCCTTTTCGCTAAGTTTCCCAAGATATTTTTCAGTTTCAATTTACTAATTAGACTCAAATTTACCTAAAATACAGGTTTGAAAATTGTGTCTTTTGGTATGCCGTTTTCTGCTTTTCCCCTTTTAGCTAAGTTCTCCAAGTCATTTTCCAGTGTGAGGCCAGCATCTTTGTTATGCAAAATCAGTAATTGTATTTAAGTTAAATTAAATGATTTCGTAGTATTCTTTTACAAGATATATAGCAAATTGCCATAAATTTACATATAAAATGTACTATAGATGCTCTGAATGTTAATCATCTTTACTGGGACTGATTGTGAATGTGAATGCTTTTCTTTATTTTCATTTTTTTTTAAATTATCAGCTCATAACAGATTTATATATATACAAATTCAGGAATTCTTATTCTCATCTTTTCATTAGACGTGCTAATAGTTAGTGGTGGCTTTTGAAGGTATAAAATTACTACCAATGCCTTCTCTTCTCTAAGTGTTTGAATAAATTCTTCAATGAATTACCATTTCTATTAAATTTGTTATGCATATTTCTGTCTTCTCTATCTTTTAAGTGTTTGTGATTTATTTTTATCCCCGTTGTCTTGAGGAGTATTAATGGCTTTTGTTCTTATTTTCCTGGGGCTAAATTATATCATAACTACGGCTTGGAAGATGATATAAGTCAGAATTTTAAAAAAATCTAGGTTTTCTTTATCTTTCGATATCAGAGTTCATTCATTCAGTTGGATGCCTTTAAAAGGAAAATTGTTAGTTTGACCAACATGGGCATAAGTTGTTGTCAATTTTAATTTCTTTAGCCTTATGATGATTAGGGGAAGAGGCTAGATCAATGGAGGGATGACATTAGTTTGTTGTTAGAGTCAATTTACTGGTATATCAAAATGAGATGTAATTTCTCATGCATATTTGTTTTTATAGTCTGATAATGGTTTGTGTAGAGCAATTTAGCAACTTTAATAGAAGTTTATTCATTTTTTTGGCAGCGATTAAGTTTTGTGACTATAAAAAGATGTCTAGGCTTGAAAAAAATATTGATTCCATATGCCAACAAAAAAAGGGAAGCGTCAATGCACGGAAGAAAGAGGCGTCAAAATAAAACAGAGACGCCGTGAAATATATAAAGAGATGTCGGCAGACATAAGAGAATTAAACTTAATGCAACGACGAATGGTATACCTTCATTCTACAACACATAATCTTATTGGTAATTCCACGGAGGTACCAACTGCCTGTCAATTTAGCAAAGAGCGTATCGAGAATACGATTGGTGTAGGAGGAGCCCCATCTTCTCTCTTGGAAACAAGTTAGCACAGTATTATTTTTTTAGTCAATAACTTGCTTCTTATATGTGTATATTTTAGTTTATATGTGTGAGCACCTAATTTTTGATAATATTTAATTTTTTTTATCACTTCTTCTATGTAAATATTTTAGGGGTTTTAACCTACAATTTTTAGCTTTGTTAACTTTTATTATAGGGTAAAAATACAAAATTTAAAAGGTGAATTATTACTATTAGTATTATTTTATTTTTATTTTTATTTTAAAATAATAAAAAAATTCCGAAAAAATATTAATTTTTTTTAATTTTCGGGAGTGATTTAAAAAATAAGAAAAAGGGAAGTATTCAATAAAAAAAATAAAATTAAAAGTAGGTGGAATTCTCTTTTAAAAAGTAAAAGAAAGTAGAAAATTTTAAAAATAAAAGTAAAGTTTTGTGGAAATTTTAAAAAAATAAAAAGTAAAAGAAAGTTGGAATTAAAAAATAAATATAACAGTATCTGAAAATTTAAAAAATTTAAAGTAAAAGAAAGTAGCATTTTTAAAAGAAAAGCAAAAGAAAGTGGATTGTTTTTTAAGAAAAGTTAAATAAAGTGGAATTCTCTTTTAAAAAGTAAAAAAAGTTGAGATTTTAAATAAGATAAAAGTAATTAAAGTTGGAATTTAAAAAATAAAAGTAAAGAAAGGTGGGATTTCTTTTTATAAAAAAATAAAAACAATTTGTAAGTGAGATTTCTTTTAATTAAAAAATAATAAAATAATAAAATATTTTTTTAAAAAAACATCTGAAAAATCTCGAAAATTTTGCTATTAATAGGAGAAAAAAAAGAAGAGAGGAGAAGAAAAAAAAAAGAGGGGTGGAGAGAGCGGTATACACTCGATATACACTCTGGATACACTGGATATACTGGGGCAGAATTCATTTTGGAGAGAGTAAAAAAGATAGAACCAAATTTTCTGAAATATTGAGAGCGGAAGAACACCAGAGAGAGTTCAAAGCTAGAAAGAGAA